AGCCAGGTAAATGTAAAGGGACCCCTGACCATTAGGTCCAGTCGTGACCGACTCTGGGGTTGCGGCGCTCATCTTGCTTTATTGGCCGAGGGAGCCGGCGTACAGCTTCCGGGTCATGTGGCCAGCATGACTAAGCCGCTTCTGGTGAACCAGAGCAGCGCACGGAAACGCCATTTACCTTCCCGTCGGAGCGGTACCTATTTATCTACTTGCACTTTGACGTGCTTTCGAACTACTAGGTTGGCAGGAGCAGGGACTGAGCAACAGGAGCTCACCTCGTCGTGGGGATTCGAACCACCAACCTTCTGATCAGCAAGTCCTAGGCTCCGTAGTTTAACCCACAGCGCCACCCGCATCCAAAAGCCAAGTAACGAGGAGATAATATACCTATCATCTTTGTTTATTGCTTTGCCAACAATCTCCGCTATCGTGGGAGCTGTGCCATTAAGGCAACTGGAAACCAGAAGCCAGTGTAAAGCTTCTTAAAATTAGATATGACCTGCTGGTCTATGGGCTGGATGAGAAAAGTCGTGTTGTGGGGGCAAGAACTTTACACTGATGAAGCTGAACTCTTCCATCAACTCGTCTTCCATGCCTGGAGGGTGACCTGGAGCATTATCCATAAGAAGTGTGGATGCCTAGGACTCGGGCTCGGACTCAGAACCAGAGGAGTCTCAGTCTGCACCAGATCCTTTGCCTCAGGCATCATCTGAACCAAGTCTGGGGTCTGATCCTGAAGAGTCCCAGTCTGCACAGGTTCCCCTGAAACAAACACCAGCTGAGCCAAGTCAGGGGCCTGAGCCTGCCCTGGCTCCAGATGCGGGGATTACCTCGTTGCCTCCAGCTGGGCCATCACTTACAGCTGCTCCACTACTGGTTGGGTCAGGGGAGGCTGAGGCGGCCCCTGGGTCTAGTAATCCACCGACGTCTCCCGAGCTGCAGAGACTAAGGTCTGAGAAAAGGAGAGACCTGAGTACCCGCAGGAGGAGTGCTCGCCTTCGGGCAAAACAGGGAGGTGAGTCGCCAGGAGATCAGGACTGGCCATTACCCTGACAAAGATAAAAGGCTGTCGGACCCTGCCTCAGGTTGCGGGAGCAACATTGCTGTATGCCAGATCCTGCCTGAGATCCTGTACCTGTCTTTGCCTGGAGAGCCAGTGTGGCGTAGTAGTTAAGAGCGATAGACTCGTAATCTGGGGAACCAGGTTCGCATCTCCGCTCCTCCACATGCAGCTGCTGGGTGACCTTGGGCCAGTCACACTTCTTTGAAGTCTCTCAGCCCCACTCACCTCAGAGTGTTTGTTGTGGGGGAGGAAGGGAAAGGAGAATGTTAGCTGCTTTGAGACTCCTTCGGGTAGTGATAAAGCAGAATTTGTTGTTGTTTAGTCATTTAGTTGTGTCCAACTCTTCGTGACCCCATGGACCAGAGCACGCCAGGCACTTCTGTCTTCCACTGCCTCCCGCAGTTTGGTCAAACTCATGCTGGTAGCTTCGAGAACACTATCCAACCATCTCTTCCTCTGTCGTCCCCTTCTCCTTGTGCCCTCCATCTTTCCCAAAATCAGGGTCTTTTCCAGGGAGTCTTCTCTTCTCATGAGGTGGCCAAAGTATTGGAGCCTCAGCTTCAGGATCTGTCCTTCCAGTGAGCACTCAGGGCTGATTTCCTTCAGAATGGATCGGTTTGATCTTCTTGCAGTCCATGGGACTCTCAAGAGTCTCCTCCAGCACCATAATTCAAAAGCATCAATTCTTCGGCGATCAGCCTTCTTTATGGTCCAGCTTTCACTTCCATACATCACTACTGGGAAAACCATAGCTTTTACGATATGGACCTTTGTCAGCAAGGTGATGATAAAGCAGGATATCAAATCTAAATTCTTCTTCTTCTTCCTGCCTCGTGTCCTGCCTTGACCCTGTCAGTCTGACTCCTAGTGGAGCCTTCGGATTCTGGACCGGACCTGGACTGCAGTTCTCGGGTTACTCCAGGGCCAGCACAAGAAGCAGGCACTTCATTGGAAATTTTTTGTCTTGGAGGTATTTTTTCACACTTGACCCAAACACTTCATGAACCCACTCAATAAAAAATTGCCTGGTTACCCAAGCTCTGCTGTTTGATCTCCACATCACATGCATTTTGCTTCTTATGGCTTTGTTTTTCTTAAATACCCTGGGGTTCTCAGAACGGTAGACTAGCAAAGGCTTCAACTTAAAATCTCCACTTGCGTTCACACAAAATCAAAGTGTCAGCCTGTCTTTTATGGGCTTGTGTCCTGGAAATGCTTCTTCCTCCTTTGTTATGTAGGTCCTTTTTGGCATTTTCTTTTAAAAGAGGCCTATCTCATCACAGCTGAAAACTTGTTTGGGAATGAAACTGAAATATACTTGGAGTCGAGAATGGATTTCATGCTCTTTATTCAGCTCATAGTGGTGAGGAGGAATGGAAGTTCCCCCACAATATCTGCTTTATATACACAATGGGCTGCACGTGATTGGCTAATTCCAGGATTCTCTTGTAGGCCAATCAGGTTGTGGATTCATACTGCTGCATTGTTCTAGGACCAATCAGACTGCTGCATTCTGAATCCTATTGTTCTAGGACCAATCAGACTGCTGCATTTTGGATCCTATTGTTCTAGGACCAATCAGACTGCTGCATTTTGGATCCTATTCAACTCAGTACATAACAGAAACCCTGCGACTCAACATAATCTTTAAACCACTTCTCTTAAAATTATCAAACCACTCTCTACTTGCCTTGAAACTCTCACCTTCAGCACTTGTTCCAGGGGTTTTTCTGATGAGGTCGGCATGCAAACGTAAAGCTTTTCCACAAATTATGTTCTCAGAAATGCTGTCACCGGCCAACTCTTTCTCAGTTATCCATATTAGAAGCAATATTTCCACTTCTTCAATTGTCTGTGTTCATTGCTTTGTGAGTGTTTTAACACCTTTTGCAACACTGGCTCCTTTAATAGCATCCTTGTTTTTTTAAGATGGTACAAATTGGAGATTTGGCCATACCAAACTGTGTTGCCAGATCACTTACACGGATACCACTTTCATGCTTGGAAATAATTTGCTTCTTTACCTCTACAGTTGTTCTGTTAATGGTACTCTTGCCTTTGCTATTATTCATTTCTGCAGTCACACAACCAATCAATCAGTAGCTGAACTGGGTTCCACACAGTTACAAAATCAAATTAACCGAAAAAGCCACACAAACAAAAACAAAAAATAGCAAAAACAAAAGCACCAAATATGAGCTCCCAATATCACCTCTGTGTTGCGTGGATGCTAGGGACTCAATAGCCGACAGACCTCAGCCTAGTACCCAGAACGGATGCGTTACACTCAAATCCAATGCAGAATACTCAAACTGGAAGCGGAACACTGTAATTGGAAGTGTAGGACTCAAACTGGAGCATGTTCGGCTTCCAAAAAAAAGTTCACAAACCAGAACATTCACTTCCGGGTTAGCAGCATTCGGGTTTGAAGTTGTTTGAGAACTAAGCTGTTCAAAAACTAAGCTGTTCAAAAACCAAAGTACCACTGTATATGAAAATGATGTACAGTGGTACCTCAGGTTAAGTACTTAATTCGTTCCGGAGGTCCGTTCTTAATCTGAAACTGTTCTTAACCTGAAGCACCACTTTAGCTAATGGGGCCTCCAGCTGCCGCCGCGCGATTTCTGTTCTCATCCTGAAGCAAAGTTCTTAACCCGAGGTAATATTTCTGGGTTTGCGAAGTCTGTAACCTGAAGCGTCTGTAACCTGAAGCATATGTAACCCAAGGTACCACTGTATCATTAGTGAACTAGCTGAAAGTATAAAACAAGGTCAAATACATGCTGGAAACGTAAGGAAAAAGAAGACACCTTTTATCATATGTGGTGGACTTGTAAAGCAGTAAAAGAATTATGGGAGTCCTATCCCATGCCTTGAGCTCCGTTTGCCATACCATTGGGAGCTCACGGTGTTCTGCCTCTTACTTCACCATGGCAGAAAACCCCTGGCTGAAGGTCTCTGGTCTGAAAAGCTGGTCTACGATGGCCATCTCTGGTTGCTCTCCAGTGGTGCCGAGAAGGAGATGCAGAAGTTCCTTAGCCCCTCTGTAACCAAAGCGAGGCCACCTCCACATGTCAGAGAAAAATGATAGGGATACTTAGATGCTACAAGGAAGAGGGGCTGTCTGTAGGCTGATCCATCCATCCCTATAATGAAAGAGGACCTGTAGTAAGCGGGACAATCCACACACACACCGACCATTCCTCCTAGACACCTGCAGGACTTGGCCAGGAAGGGGGAGAGATCGCTAGTTGCTGCAAATCACAAGCCAAATGGTAAAGCTGCCGCCACCTCCTTTCCCAGACCACCCTCGAATGGGGTTCAAGGAGGAGAAAACCCCCCACTTTACCGTGACGCAGACAGAAATTCAACAGGTAGGTGTCCAAACAGTAAGCACCAGTTTAGCTTCCCTGAGCAAAGGCACAGAGTACAAAACACAAAAAGTCCTTTTCCAAGTTTATTGAAAAAGCCACTCGAAAAGTTGCACATTTCTTAGAAGGTTACAAACAAAAAATAAAAACATTGTAAAACAGAACCAGCTAAAACCATACTCACATAAGAACAAGAGTTCAAAACACAGTGAGTAGTCAAGAGTCCTTTCAATGGTCCAACGCTCCCAGGTGAAGTACCAGGGCAAGATGTTCTGCCTTTTGCATCTGAATTCCCAAATCCTTGAACCTTGAAAACCCAAGTGGAGGACAGGTTAAGGACCAATCATTTATTTAGGTTAATTACCATTTTACCAAGGGCTGTATGATGAGACTACCGTATTTTTCGTTCCATAAGACACACTTTTTCCCTCCTAAAAAGTAAGGGGAAATGTGTGTGGTCTTATGGAGCAAATGCAGGGGGGAGGCAGGCAGGAAAAGCCCCCAAGAGGCACAAACTCCACGTGGCTCTTGCGGGCTTTTCCCCAGGAGGGAGAAGGGAGACTAAATTTTCCTCTTCGCCATTCATTCTCCACTTCCAAAAACTCGCCCAGAGCCCCACACTTTCTGTGACCTTGGATAGCTCTTTGCCAAACTTGGTGACACCATTAATCTATGTTCTACAGTTAAGTCCACTGGACATGGCAATGTCCACTTACCTCCAGGAGTCTTTTGGACGCCATCTTCTAATGTAGTGACTGAGCGAAGGTCACTACAGCCAACCTCTGCAAACCGCAAGATGCTGAGGATGCCAGAACCTCAGTTCAAATGGTCACAAGCTCCGTTGCTGGCCAACAGTCCTTGAGAACATGGAATGCACGGCCACACTGCCAAGATTCTAGGAGAATCCGTGTGACCCAGTGGTTAGAGCAAATTTAAATCCATACACTTTTAAATCCATATTCTTTTAAATGTACAGTTTAATACTTAAAAAAAATATTTTTATTAAAGTTTTCTTTGTTTACAAAGGTATGCGCAATGTCTCTTTTTTCAAGTTACATTTTCCACAGGTCAGTTTCATTTGTTGAGACATTAGGGTTAAATTAGGAAGAAAAGGGGGGGAGGTGGAGGGGGCCATGGTGGGGGGGGGGTTGGGTCGGGACGGAATTGTGGCGTTTGCCTTCCTATGTTGTGACATCATACTGGGTTCATAGGGAAAGAGTTAACTGATTGTAAAATGACTAACCACTGGGAACCCAGGGGGCAGAGTTAGGGTATATAAGATTTAAGCACAGAGGTTTTTAGTGCGTTAGAGTTGTCTGGAGTTAGGGAGACAGAGAAGATAAGTCTGTGGGTTGGGCTAGTCTGGTGTGAGAGAGGGAGAGAATTTGTTAAGAGGAGTCAGTCAAACAGTTAAGATAATCAGTCAGAAGGTATTAGGAAGGTATAGACTGGTAATGAAACTAAAGTTAAGATATTGACATGAATATTATCTGAGAAACCATAAACTTGTTAATGTTTGTAAAATAAACTTGCGTGTTTTGTTCACTTTTAACAACTGAAAGGACTCAGTGTTTTACCAGAGTAACTGGTGGCGCTGTGGGTTAAACCACAGAGCCTAGGACTTGCTGATCAGAAGGTCGGCGGTTCGAATCCCCGCGACAGGGTGAGCTCCCGTTGCTCGGTCCCTGCTCCTGCCAACCTAGCAGTTTAAAAGCACATCAAAGTGCAAGTAGATAAAGAGGTACCACTCCGGTGGGAAGGTAAACGGCGTTTCCGTGCGCTGCTCTGGTTCGCCAGAAGCGGCTTAGTCATGCTGGCCACATGACCCGGAAGCTGTACACCGGCTCCCTCGGCCAATAAAGCAAGATGAGCGCCGCAACCCCAGAGTCGACCACGACTGGACCTAATGGTCAGTGGTCCCTTTACCTTTACCTTAACTGGTTGGTGGCAGCAGGGAAGTGAGCATAGTGGTGGCACAGGGATCAATAGACCGTTAAACGTCCGAGGACCCTGTGTGATCTCCACAGCAATATTTCTATTTTGCTTAATGTATGTGTGGGTTTTTGTGTCAGCGTCGTTTGTGCAGGTTCTCTTTGCTATTCAAAGTATTGGTTTAATACTTTTTGTATTATTTTTAGCCTGCTTTTCAGACAGATGTTGTCTCCTAAAGCAGCTGACACCAATTTGAAAAAAGGTGAGATAAGTCCTGTTCTGAGGTTTGGAAACTCTAAAAGACAAGACACCCAATGGAAGGGATGTGGAGGAACAAGGCAGAGGAAGAAAGCCTTTCCCACAGCCCAAGGAGAGGCCTGAGATGTCCACAGGCAAGTCATGTCCTGCTGGGGCTAAGCTGACCTTCTTGGACAGAGATACAGGAAGTGACCCTGTAGCCCATCATGCCCAACTTCAGGGGAGCTGGGGGACTCAAGGCCAGATAGTTATTTCCTTGACATTTGATGGCAGAGTGTTCCACAGGGCAGGTGCCACAACTGAGAAGGCCCTCTGCCTGGTTCCCTGCAACTTGGCTTCTCACAGTGAGGGAACTGCCAGAAGGCCCTCAGAGCTGGACCTCAGTGTCCAAGCTATCAATGGGGTTGGAGACACTCCTTTAGGTATGCTGGGCTGAGGCTGTTTAGGGCTTCAAAGGTCAGCACCAGCACTTTGGATTGTGCTCAGACATGGCAATGTCCACCTACCTCCAGGAGTCCTTTGGACGCCATCTTCCGATGTAGTGACTGAGCGAAGGTCACTACAGTCAACCTCTGCAAACCGCAAGATGCTGAGGATGCCGGAACCTCAGTTCAAATGGTCACAAGCTCCGTTGCTGGCCAACAGTCCTTGAGAACATGGAACGCACGGCCACACTGCCAAGATTCTAGGAGATTCCATGTTGCCTAGTGGTTAGAGCAAATTTAATTCCATACACTTCAAGGATGGGATATAGTCTTTTAAATGTACAGTTTGTTTGTTTTTATCCTGCTTTTCAGACAGATGTCTCCTAAAGCCACTGACAGTTCATTTCGCCATCTCTGCGTATTCCATACATTTTAATTACCAGTCTTTTTTCATTGGGACTGTTTCCTCTTTCCATCTTTGGGCATATGCCATTCGGGCAGCCATGGTTTATGTGTTTGTATGTGCTCATTGAGAATATATAGCCTGCCTCGAAGGGCCTATTGCCCTCACAAGGGGCTCCCTCCTGAACCCTGATGTAAGAAACGTGGTGGATTCAAGCAAGACCTAAGGCAGTGATCAGGGCCGTCTTTCCCCTGGGGTGCAAGGGGTGCAAGGCAGCTGGGCACCGAATTCTGGGGGACAGCAGGCGCCCGCCACTGAAACCGCCTAAGCTCTTAACTATCTACCTGTTCCACGGCTCCAGGCCTGCTGAGGCACTTCCTTTGCCTGCAGAAGACACCGTCGGCGAATGTGTACTATTATTATTATTATTATTATTATTATTATTATTATTATTTTATTAAAGATTTTCTTGTTTTACAGAAGTAAGTGTAATGTCTCTCGTATTTTTTCCATGTAACATTTTTACAAATCCGTTTCATTTGTTGAGACTTTAGGCGGAGGGGGGGAAAGGGGGTGGAGGGAGGGAAGATGGGTGGGGGTGGGGTCGGGTGGCGATGTTTCTATTATGCTTAATGTATGTAGGGTTTGGTGCCAGCGTTGCTTGTGCTGTTCACTTGTGTTACTTTGGTGGTGAGAGAGGTTGGGGTTGGCCTAGGGTGTGGTTGTTTGTTTGTGATTGGCTGTGGTGATCTTTGTTTTTGTGTGTGAGTGAGGTGGGTGGGTGTTTTGGATCAGGTTAGCCATATTGATTTGTATGCTGTTGGTGGATTATTATCATTGTCTTGTTGGGCTGTGTATGTGATAAAGGGGAGCCATACCAGGGTAAAGGTGTCTTCTTCTGTTTGTCCCCGTGTCAGTTTCAGTTTATTGGTTAATTTTTCTAGTAGGGCTGTTTCCCATACTATTTGGTACCATTGGTCCATGCTTACTCCTGACAGGGGCGAATGTGTACTTGAGCTGGGATTGAGCATCCAGTGGTTATCCTTGCCCCAAGGCCGGGTCAGGTTGCAGAGTACCTTGATGAAGCAGTCGTTGAACAAGAGGTTGTGGAGCATGGAGTTGCACCAGCCAGTATAGGCGCCATGGAAGAATGGGAAGCAGCCCATCAGGGAATTGTTGATTTCAGCCAGTCAGGTGCCCCCCCCCCCCGGCGGAGTCCCGGATCGCCATGGTGATCAGCACGATGTACAAGTAGGGAGGCGTCGGGTGACACATGCAAAGCTTCCCCGGTGCTGTTTTTGTGTTGCTGGGCGAAGGCTCCGAGCCTTGCTGCGGAGAGGCCCCGATGCCACTGGCCGGACTGAGGGCGGTGCAATCGCTGTTGAAGCCCAGCTCGCTGTCGCCAGGCAGCGGTGGCGATACGCTGCTGCTTTCCTGGTCGCTGCTGAGCTTGTCCTCGTAATGAGGGGCGGAGATCTCCAGCTTCATGGTGGCACCTCCAGCCTTGAAGGGGCCCAGCTCGGCTCCCCCCACCCACGGGTCTCTTCTTCCTCAGGGATAATCAGTGGGCCTTCCGAGCGCAGCAATGGGGCGGTGTAGGCTCGGATCTCCAGGAGGAGGGGACGCTAACAAAAGTTGAGGTGCGTCTCTCCTTTTACACAGTGGGGGGCTCCCCTAAGGGGCGACAGTTCCCTTTCTTCCACGGGGGAGTCATGGAATGTGTCTCGCGGCTTCAGAACAATGTCTCCGTCTGCCTGGAGGAAGAGAGCAAAAATTGGGGTTCCCACGCTAGCAACCCTAAAAAAAGCAGAGCTACAGGAGAAGTTTCCAAAGCCTGAATTTCTTTGGGAAAGGGTGTTGGGGTGGAATGTAGCGATGAGGTCTCTTTCTGGCCTCCCTCTTAGTTTATGAGCAAGAAGGGGGTTTGTTTCCTGAAATATACTCGGAGTCGAGAGTGGACTTCATGCTCTTTATTCAGCTCATAGTGGTGAGGAGGAATGGAAGTTCCTCCAGAATGTCTGCTTTATATACATTATTTACACAATGGGCCCCATGTGATTGGCTAATTCCGGGATTCTCCTGTAGGCCAATCAGGTTGCTGCATTTTGGATCCTATTCAACTCAGTATATAACATTTCCACACCCCAAGTCGCCTTTTTCGAAATCAAAACCAGCGCGTTGTGCTCCTAGCGTGTGTGGAGTCGGATGGTTTTCAAGTGTTTTCTCTTGACAGTCCTCGATGGTGCGTTGCTGAGCAAAGCCAGCCTTTGCTGGCTTTTCCCCCCGGATGATGATCCACGGCGGCACTTGTCAGATTCAACTAAATTTGGGGGCGCTGGGCGGATCTCTGCACCCTAGCTGCGCATATGCTAAAGACAGCCCTGGCAGTGATTGAGCTTCAAGGCTTTATGGAGGCCTCTGGAGCAGACTGCGGAAACGGGAGAAAGGGTCTGGTTCATATACAGTTCAGCCAGCCCCCTGGTGACACCCACCTTGTGCACTATTGGCTGCTTTGCGCCGGGCAACAAATCACAGTGCAGGTTTTAGAAGCCTGGTCCACCTTGTGATGTGGATTCCAGCTCAGAGCAGGAGACGCTAAGGAACAAACATACAGAACACCTGACACCGACTACTTTCCTTGGAGCAACAGAGTGCAAGGCTTCTGTGTTGCCCTACAGGCTGCCAAGGTCTGAAGAAGACTGAACTGTGGTGCTGTGGTCTAAACAACTGAGCCTCTTGGGATTCCCGATCAGAAGGTTGGCAATGGGGTGAGCTCCTGTTGCTTGGTCCCTGCTCCTGCCAACCTAGCAGTTCGAAAGCAGGCCAGTGCAAGTAGATAAATAGGTACCGCTGTGGCAGAAAAGTAAATGGCATTTCTGTGCGCTCTGGTTTCCATCACAGTGTCTTGTTGAGCCAGAAGCGGTTTAGTCATGACCCAGAAAACTGTCTGTGGACGAACGCTGGCTCCCTCAATCTGAAAGTGAGATGAGCGCCACAACCCCATAGTCGCCTTTGACTGGACCTAACCGTCCAGAGGTCCTTTACACTTTTGTATAGTCTTCAAGTTTCTTTGGAGCAACACAGCAAGGCCCCTGCTGCAGGACTGGGGAACCTCTGGCTCTCCAAAAGTGTTTGGCTGCTGGGCCCCAGTGGTCAGGAATGATGGATAGCCCCACGTCTTCAATCCCATCTTAAAGTGAGGGGGAAGGAGGCAAGGCTCCTTTTTGCGTGTGACATTCCAAATATAACGAGGGGTGCAAAATATGTCAAGGGAATCAGTGGGTATTATAAGAATTTTAAGGTCTCAAATATAGAATAAATATTCATAAATGCACACATATCTAAATATATAAACCATGTATCTGAAATAGTATGGGAGAGCAATCCTGAAGCCATTTGGACTTTCCCAATGACCTCAAATATTCCTCTGCAGTAAGGGAGGCAAATGGGGAAAGCCTTCCCATTGTCTTTTCATTTACAAATCCTGTCTTAAGGGCGTCTTTGTGTATGAATAGGGTGAGCCTGTGACCTGGACTCAGGAACACTAAAGTATTAACCATAAAAAGAAAGGCTAGGGAAAGGCTAGGCTCTCCTGTTTCCGGCGGTGGGAAATGGCGGACTGCCACACGATCGGACTCCAGCCGTTCTGATAATTCAGGGCTGATATAGGGGTAATTAGCCCTGGCAGCCT